AAGAGTGGAACAAAAACAAGTGACGAAAAGTTCGCACGTGTCGGAGCATCGAGCCAAGGGATTATTGGCTAAATGTCGCAGCAGCAGCAGCACCCGTTGCACACCTCGAACCACAGTGGAGACTGACCCCCCCCCCCATGGGGTGGCCCAAACGGAGCATCAGAAGAAGTCAAACAAGGCGGCAGAGGGTGAGAACATTGTTGGCCGGCACTTAAAAGTCCATTAATGGCATTAAGCGGACATTCGGACATTGTGCTCCACAATGTTGCCCCATTCTGGGGCAGATCGAGTCCGTCTCGCAGCTGGCAACTAGTTCAAGCCCAATCGGTGGATAGTTTTTGGCAAATTTAAGACTCGGCCGCGGCCCAAACATAATTTTGACGGTCTGCTCACGTTGTGCCGCGGATTTGCATGACAGGCAACACCGAAATCTGACAATAGCACTGAAATTTCAATGGCTGCAAAAGGCTCTCCAGGATGCGGTGGGTGGGACCCGTTGAACGGGTGGTTCGATTTTGCGCCGCTGGGCTCTGAATTCACGCTTTTCGGCCGGGAATAAAACGCACGAATGGCCCGCCAAAACAAAAATGACAATGGCAGGCAGCAAATTTTTGCAATTCCCAACAGCACTTCAACTTCCGGCTGCCCCACCCCTCCCCTCTCTCTCTCTCTCCACGCCCCGTTGACAAAAGTTGTGGCACAGCCATTGAAAATGTGACTCCATTTGAGACTATTCTCGTACTCCCCTTCGGAGAGAGGGGATCGACCCAATGATACCCAAAATGTCGGTAAACTATGCCTGAATATTGTTGGGGGGGGTTGGGGCTCCAAAAAAAGGATATCCAAATGTTGAATTCCACTTTAAGGCTGGAATCCAGGAAGGAGCATCCTTGGTTGATTTTTCAAGAATTATTTGTAGAAGAACTATTTATACGAGTATATCCTATGTATCTTCCTTTTTTAGATCAAAAAACATTCAATCATTCATGTGGAATCAAACACCAACAACACATCTTTAAACCCACTCAAATTTGGGCATCAAATCGTATTTGTTTTTGCCACATTTTAGAGCCCGTGGAGTAATGGCCGTTGCACTTTTAAAGCGGCCCCCAAACTCGTACAGGATCCGGACGGATACGGAGTGTGTGCTCGTCTCGCAGCGCCGCAATCAACTTGCAATCGAATGCAATCCAATGTGCCGATGTGTGGGTCCGGGTACGGGTACGGGTCCGGGTACGGGTACGGGTATTGAGTGACTTGTTCTCTGGCTTCCCCATACTTCAGTCACTCTTTGAATGACATCCGCATTGCATTTGCATTTCGCAGAGCTCTCAATCAAATGTCTGGAACAAAGTGCTGTGCTGTTGGGGAAAAGTTCTACGGCTTTCGAGAGTACCCGGGCAGCCCGAGCAGGGAGCAGTGGGAGAAATGGCGATAGCGAAGCATTAGATGGACACAAATTAGAATCGGAGCACGTCCCACGTCAAATCTTGATAAGGAGACGTAAATTCAATTCAAATACTGGGGGAAACCGAGAATTTAAGGGGCCCTAGCCCGTAATTAAAGGCACAGATACATATGTATCTGTGTATCTATGGGCAAGACTTGGATCATTGTTATGGAAAGCATTTCTGTGCTTATATGTTGTGTATTTGAGAGAAATCATTGCGGCTTAATGCATAAAAATACAGAGCCGCAAATGCCAGCCGAATGCTGTGCAAATATTTACAAAACTTTTGTTTGGATTTATTCGAGTGGAACTAATTGTGGGCGTTGAACTGCAAAAAAACTGCAAAAATAAATCATAAATTTTGTGACTGATGGATTTCCCTCCCCCTCCCCCTCCCCCTCTCCCTCTGTCGCATTGAACTCCACTTTGAAAATTATTTAATTAAACTATCATCAGATAAATGGCAGCAGAGAGAAGCACTCTCTTTCGTGTCTGTGGGAAATTAATTTCCACATTTTTCCCGCGGGAAAAGCCATGAAGCCAGAAGACATTTGCGTGTCTGCGGGCCATTTGTTGTTTTCGCGGAAAACAAAGAAAGCGTCGGGAAATTCAACACTTACTAAAAAGTCACATGAGACCCGGAGAGGGGGGGCAAAGGTCAGATATGTTCTAGAGGGAGATTTCGGGCCAAAATCTAATTAACACGTGCTATCAGAGCCCCCCCCCCCCCCCCCCCCCCCCCTCTCGCGGCGGAGGAATATTACAATTTAAAAAATAATTATGAAAATGTCGGAAAATGTTATGAAAACCGCTGGAAGGCAGCTCTCGGAAGGCCCTAAATGTTAATGAACATTATAAAAACAATTGCAAGTAATTATAATTTGAATGATAATAGCGCAACTTCTTAATCCCCGACGGTAATTTTTATAGCTCCTCGTTACCCCATTCCCCGCTCCCCGTTCCCCCCCATTCGGTGGAGACAAAAGCGGTGGAGAACGCGAAAAATGCATATTCGAGGAAGACGAAAGGAAAACACCACCAGGAGGTACTCTCCCCTCTCCTCTCCTCTCTCGTGGTAATTACATTTCTTAAGCGAAACGAAACAAAATGAAACCTCAAAAAGAAGCGCGAAAGCCGATCTGAATCAAAGATAGGGGGGCAGGGAAGGGAGGAGCAGGGAAGGAGGGACATCTGGATTACTCTCGAGCTTTACTCGGAGTTCCTGAGTGCCAGAGCCTGACCTGAATTGGTCAAAATAAGACTTGGCTATGGAAAAAGATAGATCATAAAATATTTGTAAATATACAATTTTACTCCCTTTACCATTCTATGAAGGCGAAGGGGAGAAAGGGAGGCAGTAGTCATTACTGAAATTATTTTTATTTTTTTTCTAATAAATGTAAAAATTAAATTAATATAATTAACTTTGCCTTCAAAAAACTAATTAGTTTTAATGCTTTTATTCTAGTGACCAAGAAAAAGTACTTTATTTAAAACAGCTTTAAGAAACTGTTTAAAAAACATTATTTTGCTAAATTTCTCTTCTTGAAAAATCATAAAATAGCCAAATTTTTGATAAATAAAAATGCAAAATTGGGTGCTTCTAACCTACTGACGAGCAGTGTATCTACAGTGGCGGGCACATGTGGATACATGTTTATCACTTTTCGCTTTAAGTGCCTGTAAAATCTTTAAAAATTAATCAATCCTTGTGATTTTTTTGTTTAAAAGATTCATTAATTTATTGGGAATGAAAAAAGACAACATTTTTAATTCAAAGAGATCCTTTTCCTTAAGAGAATTTAATTTGTTTAAAACCAAGAGCATGTATCCACTTTTGCACGTTTCAAATTTTTTTACTTTAATAATTTTTAAAAAATATTTTTTCCAAAGGGCCTTAGCTTTTATCAGATTCCGAATAAGTATTGGCATACTCGCGACTAAATTTAGAGATAGATGTAGATACTTTCTACCTACAGATCCATGAATTTGGAAGCTCTTAAGAAACGCAGTGTGCCAGCACTTTTTTGCGACAAATTTAAGACCATTTTTGGCTTAAAAAATTGTTAAAAATATTGCATTAAGGTCAGGCCTTTAAAAATTAGTCAGCCTTAGAGAAAATGAATTAATTTATTTGATACAAATATTTTTCTTTTTAAAGTCGCGATGAAAGAGCTCTTAAAACAGCCGAAAACTGTACAGTTAGTGCAGTGCAAAACCCTTAAATCCGGCTCTGTCTGTACTCTGTATACATATATATATATACGAAAATGGATTGAAAATTACTTATACATGATAGCCTAGGCTATCCACCAGAAAAGGATAGGAATTGAGGTCCCACCGTTCGAAGGGTTCTCCGTAGATGTGTTGAGTGGGAAAAGGTCATTGATGCCATTAAAAACCTCTCGATAAGGCATTTACAAAGTCCTGAAACCACTGAAAATTGCAGATATATTTTTGTGGGAGTTTATTTTACTATTTTCGCATTTAAGCGTGAAATAAAAAACATTCTGTTGAATTTCGGAAGACACAAAAGGCAGAAAAAATTTGTTAAAGTAGTTTTTGGGGCACTAGAAACAGTCACATCTCCAAGACACATTAAGGCGGTGAGGTCTGCAATCAGGAGAAAACATAGCAGGATATGAGCCATAGGAGGTGCCCTAAAATATCCAAAATAATAGCTATCACAACTGTCACTCTTTTCGCGGATTTGAAAGGTTTTTGAAACCAACTTTGGAAGGTGAAAAGTCTCCGGAGTCGACTTGAAGCAGCAGAACCAGAAGCAGGAGCCTTAGGAGCAATCCTGGTTACTTTAGTCCCGAGAATCGTGCTCTCTGGGAAGGGCAGGCTTACACACCCGTAGCTGAAACGTCTCTACTATGTATATGGCTTATGCTTTGGTGTGTGTCTGTCCATTTATCGGATATGCAATACCTACAAATACCCATAATTAATCTATGCTGCCTTGGCTCTCTCGTTTCCGTCGAAGAGGCATCATGAAAATGAATTCTAATTTGTAGTTTCGCCCACAGAAAACCGCACGCCCACGCCCCACGCCCCACGCTGGACGTGAAGCTCATCAAGTTTTGGCCACTTTGCAGCTAATTACTCAGAGGGGGGTAGAGGGGAAGGGGGGTAGAATCGAGAACGAAGAAATTTGCTGCGAAAAATCAAACAACGGAATTGCTACTTGCCATTTCTCGTCACGTTCAAAACTTAATTAGTACATCAGGCTATCAGCGAGGCTGAGGCTGGGTCCGAGACTGAGGCTGGAGCTGGGACTGGCACTGGGGGGGCCGATGCTGGGGCCTGGCGAGGCAGCGGCTGTCATAAGGACGTCATGTTTCTTAATTAGTTCTTTGTTATCATAACTTTGCGGAACAGCAGGGTCCACAGGGTCCTGCCTGGGCCTGGGCTTGAAGAGCCTTCGCTTGCATTTAAATCTAACCTTCATAAATGGATGCTTTACCTTGAATCTCTGCCCCCCTGCCGCCTCTCCCAGATCACTTCCAATGCGGATTGTCAGTGGCCCTCGGGGGGGCTCCATGTACTATATTTTTGTTGGGGTCTCTTGGGCATCTTGGCATGCCGCACACGTAGCAGATTTCCGCACGAATTCGCAAAGCAACTCTTGATCCCTTTGACTCCGTCGGCGACATGTTTTCCCTGCCATTCTCTTTGATGTTTACAAATTACACCGAAAGTTGGCAAACAAATTTTCTTATTCACTTTTTCCCCCACTGCACACACAATGAAATGGCCAAAAGCCGCACTACTACCAAGGGAGGGGGGTGGAGAGGGGTGGGGGGGGGGTCATGCCATGTGGAATGCCAAAGTGAAATTGCGACCGAGAGAGAGAGAGACAGAGAGACAGAATTGTGTAAATACATTTACAGTGCATTCTTGAGCGTTGGCCAAATACGAAGATACAAAGATACAAAGATACGAAGGATACGAAAACTTTGGGGCGGCTTTTGAAATCGATTTGGCAATTGGATTTGTTCAAGATTTGATGCTGCAAAGCCAACGATACGATACTCGTGCCATACGATATATCTGGCATTCATCGCTCTCTCGGAAAAAACTAAAACAAAACTTTTTTTTTAAATTTCTCCAATTATATTTTTACGCTATGGAAAGTTTGATGATTTTTCCAGCCAGAGTCGTACGTCCGTACGTATGCTGATCTGTAGCCCCCTCCCAACCCCCTCCCCCCACTGCCACACAAAAAGGCGTAAACTTTCTGCCCCAGTGTGTGTGTGTGTGTGTGCGTGTGGGTGTGTGTGTGTGGCAGGGTGGGCCTTTGTGGGCCGGGCCGCCTGTGCAAACAACAACGATAAAAACATCTTGAGGTCTAAGGATGAGCAAACTTTTTGTTCACTCATTCATAAGTTTTTAATTAAATTGACGTCACATTTTTTTAATTCTCTCTCTTTTTTTGTGTGTGCTTTTTGTTTGCTCCAAACAGAGAGAGCGTTCTTTTTCTTTTTAATGATGCCCCGAGACCCAGATAACCCTTCAGAAAGGATTGCGAGAGGAATTCAAAAGTTAATAGTTTTCCATGTAGGAAAGATCAATGGGATAAAAGGATGAGGCCTGTTCTAAGGGGGGGACCTTAATTTATCTGTCTTTCGATTATTAAAAGGATAAAATATAGGCATTGGCTTACCTTTCATCCACTTGAAAGAGCATTTCTTTATCGAGGGTGTGCTGGCGCCTGGAAAATAAAAATACAATTTATTAAAGATTTTTTATTGAAGTTTGTTTCCAGGCAGTCGCACCGAAAGGACTTTCAAGCTCTTCAGAGAAAACTAATTCTTGGTTTTGGATCTTAAAAATTAAACAATCAATATTATAAAAAAAAAATATTAATATGTATTGTATTTTATATCTATATTATATTTATATTATACTGTGTATTTATATTATATTTTAGATTTATTTTATATTTATATTATATTATTTATATTATTATATTATTATTTTTATATGATATTTGATATATATGTTATAAATAAAACAATTAATATTAAAAAAAAATAAAAATAAATAAAAAATTAAATATGCTACATTATATTTTATATTGACATTTATATTCTATATTGTATTTTATATTTATATTATATTTTATATTTATATTATATTTTAATAAGAATTAAATGAATAAAATAAAATATAATAAAATGAAATAAACAAATATTATTATCACCAAAGATCACCTAAAACCAAAAATATTGAAATTTTGTTGAAAATGCATGGATCTTTGGATCATGGATTATCTTTTTAAGCATTCAATTTGTATATTTAATTCTTCTGAACCACAAAAATAAAAACATAATTCTTTATTTTCGGTCCTTGGTTAAATCAAACGTTATTTTCTTAGCCAGTGAAAATAATATCAATTTGACAAGACCATGGATGGAATTAAACGACGAGACCACCTTTTATAATTGCATCATGGGAAAGACCGAGAACCCAACGATTTAAGGGTTGAAATGGACGTCCAACAAGGCGGGTATTAGTGCGAGCGGGACGGCTATGTTAGCCGCTCTTTTTCTGTTTCTCCACTTATTCGATTTCCGAAGGTTTTCCAGGAGGAAATACGAAAACAAAGAGTAAAAATGACTTTCTATAAGTGATCGAAATCGATTAAGAACGAATCAGAGTCAGGGAGCTACACAATTCCTCCAATTTCCAAAGAGAAAAGAAGGTAACGATTGGACCGTTGGGATCGTAAGACCCTTCATTCCGCCGAGTTCCGAGAGTTTTGGGGCAGAATCTCGAGTCCCTGATATCACTGCCACTTCAGAATCACGTTGACGTTGATGTCCTTCATCCTTCCGTTCCCCTTCTTCAGAAAGTTGAAGGTTTTCCTTCTTCGCTTTCAAGCGATGGTCACGAAAGACTTTTCCATGCCTCGAATCGGCCAAATATTCCTCAAAAAACGCGGATCTGTGCGGCAATCTTAATTGTTTGTTGGTTGTCGCTTCTGCTGTTTGCTTAATGGTTTGATAAGCGTTTCGTTTTGTTCAATTGAATGGTGGCTTCAGGGGAAAACTAATTGCACGCGATGCTTACACGAAAGCTGAAGCAAATTTCGATGGGGCCACGCCCTGGCCCAGACAAGGACAAGGGCAAGGAGAAGGGGCAAGGGGCGAGCAATTAAAGCAAAGAAAATAAAGGTAAATGTTTTTGGCACCCAGTGCCGAACGAGGCGTTAAAAGTGATTATTTACACAGTTCCAGTGATGAGGATGGGGCCTGCGAGTTCTCAATGGCAAACCCCCCCAATCGAAGAGGCTGGAAAGCCTCCTCCTCTCTTTAAAATGTGGAATTGAGCTGCCACATTCGTCGAAATGCGGCTCGCGAGTTGACAGCGAAAAACGCAGTCCGTGACATGACATAGGCCAAGGGGATTCGAAGGCTCCACTCCGTGCAGAACAGCGGGAGAGAGTGCCCCTCCCCCACCCAGCGGCGGCTCAATTGTCAGTGCCATCAATCACGTGATTGACATTTTGGGTTAGCATTTCGAGAGCGGCATCGAGCACTGCCAGAGCGTAGCTGTAATTGATGCCGAATGCCAGTGAGCCCCAAAGCCCCCCATTTTAAAAAGAACGATGCACTCGAGCCGCGCAGAGGGAAGCCTGGTGCGGGGGGGAGGGGGGGAATTACTAACATAACCGGATTTCAAATTTGCCCAAATGCAAAGTATTTTCGAGTTCCAGCTGAAATCCCATCATGCTGCCAATGGCCATGGTCCCGGGTCCGGGTCCGGGTCCGGCTACTTCCAAAGCCCGGACAAAAGCGAAAAGCCAAAAGAAAAGGCAGCCAACAATGGAGGAAAATAAAGAAAAGCTCTCCCACACACACACCGAACGAAACAAGCCCGAAACCGTATGGCCAAAACGGATAAGCTTCCCATGGGGACCAGCCCCACCACCCCCGACAGCCCCCCGACTGGCCCCCCACCTATAGAAAATGGCATTACCATTGCCCCGTCCCCACATCCTTCCGGGCCTGCGACCATTTTTGCTTTCGAAAGAAAGTTTCGGGGGGGGCTGGGGGCGGGGGGCGTGAGGGCGCATCCTCTGGGTGACTCAAATAAAATTTGTTGATTTTATTGAAAAGTGATGATGTGTCAAATTTTTTATCGCATTACCAGAGCGCGGCTCTTATTTTGCTTTTAACCTTGCCGCCGCCCGCCATTTGCATAAAATTCGCATTGAATAGACACATTAGCATTCTTAATGGCGTGACCGCTGGAAGTCATTTTGGGTCCCCCCCGTTGGCCAGGGGCCAGGGGTCAGCCCCCCGAGTCCGCCTGCAAATTTATCAATGCCGAACACGTTTGGGTCCGAGAGACCCCGGCTCAAGCCGAAGCCCATTCACTGGAGCGACAAGTGAGCAATATGTCTGCCTGGATCGGTTCTTGTCGGGGATTGGGGCTTGGGGGTAGGGGGCTTGGGGGCTACTCCCCGGCTTGCACTGATTTTTAAGACAAATTGAACAGCGTGTCAAATGGTTCGTCTCGAGCTCAACTTTTTGCTTGTCTAGTTTCCGGGATAGTCGAATGAATTATGTGCTCAAGGAATTTGCAGGGCGAGGAGGGCGGGGAGGGCCAGGGCATATGCATACTCGATAAGTGCTGATAGCTGGGTGGATATATCCATATTTTACTGGTTTAAGGCATCATTTGTATCTACTACTAAAAGTAGTAGGATAATACTACTATCCGACGTGTGGGCTCCGAGCTGCTCCTCCATCTTGACCTAAACATTTTCCAGTAGCAGCACAATGTAGGTCTCTTAGGTCTCTATATATGTGCTTTTTGGACAGCGGAAAACACCGACTAATGATAGTTTCACCTAAAAATTACCTACATAAAATTTTAATCCAAAGAATATTGGAAAAAAATGCGTTTGGAAGTTCCGTGGCATGATTCCGGCAGGAATGTGTTTAAAACCTTTACTGAAACCCCAGCGGAATGGCAGAATACGCCATCTTGGGGATCCACTTCCTTGGAGAATCCTAGAAACAGACCCTGTGGCATGTATCCCCCATCGAAGAGAGGTTTGCTATCCCCATAACACATTATTTCCAATTACAAATATGTAGAAGGTATCGGTGTACCCTTCCCTGCTTTATCTTGAAGACGGCCAAATGTGGGGAATCGAAGGGCACTCCCCCTTGTGGCTTTACTCCCATTTACAGAGGAGTCTTTCGGAGATCTCTCTGTGGCAGAACATCTCCTTCACGTAGTACTGATCGCCAAGGAATCCAAAGAATCTGCTTCTTTGTGGAATTGAGTGGAGTGGGATGAACTGAAAGTCGTGTACTTCCTCCCTGGCACAAAAAACTATCATCTTCCAGCCGCGAAACAATTGTCTAACGAGGTTCTCCTTTTTAACTAGGAATAAACGATAGATCTAAAGCACTTACGAAAAGAAAACTGATTTTAAACCATTGCTTCTGTTTCATTTTCAATTCTGTTTTAATCCAATCAAAATAATCATTATTACCCACGAATATCCCCTTAAAATCCTCCTTTAATATTTTTCTAGTTAGATGTTTCCTCCTTAATAATATTTGTTGTACCCACGAGCCCGGGGAAATCTCTCTGTGTGAAATGCTCTTCTAGCCCGGTTTCTAGCCAAATGAGAAGAAATGCGTTTGC